GAGAGGGAAGGAGCCACGGGGAGAGGGTTGCAGAGTATGTCTAGCTTAAGTGCTGCATATTTCAAGTTCCCCTAGAGTCCCATTCACATGTCCTTCCTCTTTAAAGTGATGAGCTCTCTACATCAGGAGACACAGGGTGGCGACTTACAGGTGTGGCCTGAGACAGCAGAAGTTGGAGCTCTGCAGGAAGTCCAGATGGCAGTGTGCCCACTTCCACAGCATGAAGGGTCTGTGTCCAGCACAGGAGGAGGTAAGCCAACTACCACAGGTTTCCCTCCAGAAGATTCTCATTATCAAGGGAATATGTTTCAGGGCTGGTGTTTCACAGCATCCTTGTCTGAGGGGGACTTGAGCCAATATCATTTACCAATACCAAGCTACCCTTGAATGTGCAGACCCTGTGGACCAGTCTGCAGGGGAATAACTAGCAGTACTCATTAATCTGTCCACCCTTTCGGTTTCTGACCCTAGTGAAATGTTTCCCCACATGAGGGGAAGGGAGCTCCTTCCTCTCCTTCCTCTCCCTCCTTCCATGCTGTTGTGTTTGCAGCCTTCATTTGTCCCTGTGTCCTGACTATCAGAAAAGACACAGCCCCACTGAATGCTAGTCTAGTTTATGTGTTTGTGAAGGGGCCTCACTCTAGGGAGTTTCATCAGAACCATATTTGTCTCCTAACAGGAAAGTGACAGCAAGCTGGAGGAAAATGGGTACCACTTTGGATGGAATGCTGGGACATTGCTCCACTTTGGAAGTGAGTGGGAATTACCTAGCCTAGGGCACAGTGGTCAGAGATGTGGTCAGCACTCTTGAAACTACTTTGTACCCAGGTCCCACAGGGTACAGTGGTCAGGCCTAGATAGCCTTGTTACCATACAGCTAGGGCTTCCCGCTAGGCCTTCTGCTTGCTTGACCTGCTGGGATAATTGTCTAGAGTGTTGTCAGGTGCACCTGACAGGCAGACAGCCTCTCCATGCAGTGAAGGATGGCCACTCTGAATAGGATGATTGTCAAGGCTCATCTCTGGGCAGCACATGGCTGAAAGCATCACTGAGACCACTAGCAGATGCTTAGTTTTTTGTTTCTTGTCTAAACTTGACTCTGGCTTAGGGGATAGGAAGAATGAGGCTGATCAGGCAGGTCTGCCTCCATCCCAAGAGTAGGTGGTCACTTAACTTGTATTACACAGGACAAGAGATCGATAGATGGATAGATAGATAGATGATAGATAGATAGATAGATAGATAGATAAATAGATAGATAGATAGATAAAAAACAGCTGTGTCATGGCTACAGAGGGATATTGATATAACTTGGTGTAAGTGGCACATCTCTCCCCTCTGACCCTAACACCATTGAGAAGGAACACTTTGAATCAAAGATGGTGAACATCTTCTCACACCTGTATGCTGTGACATCCATTCTGTCACTGGCCAGTGACTTAGTCTTTGTTGGGTTCCAGAGACTGGGGAATGGGGATTCACACAACCTAGCAAGGGGAACCAGCCAAGAGACAATGACTGCTTGCTCCTCTGCCCATGTCTGGTTTGTATGTCAGTGAGTGACCATTAAGGAATGTCACACCCTGAAGCACTTAACTGAACTCATGGCCTGTGGAAAGGAGCCTTGGGTAATGTGGCCAGCCATGGAATCTCTCAGGAGACAGCACATGCAGACCAGGACTCCAAACCCTAGTAATGATTGTCTCTAAGAATGTGACCCTTAGGAACCAGAGTTGATGCCTAAGAGGCCAGGTGAGTTTAATGTGAACTATTTATATTTCTGACCACTGAAGGGAGCATGTGGTGGCCTTTAGATTGTTACATGTCAAATGTCAGATTATGATGAGGCTCACACATTCAACACACTCCTTTCCCACTGCCTATGTCCTGGAGGCAGCAGGACAGGTTCAGACAATACATGCTTTTTGTATCAAGATCTTTTCACACACTACCATAAAGTTGCTCAGTAATACTCACTTCCCAGTGGAATAAAGTGAGTCCAATTGATGCTGTGTAGCTTGCTTTTGGACAAAGGCTGACTGGTTGGGACTGTTTAAATTCCTCCAAGGTCATTGACACAGATAGGATGACTAGTGTGGTAACAGCCTGGGTCTCTTTTAGTCTCAGAGGCCAACTCCAGAACTCTCATTGACATCCTTTCTTTCCTCAGATCTGCAGGTTCTGCTGGATATGTTCAGACAAAGCTCATCTTCACCGTATGTGCATCCTGTCTCATCTAGGCAAGTGTTCAGTGAGCTGGGTGCAGGAAGCACAGCGTCTAGAAACAGACATGTTGGTGAAACTGCATTTCCTTCTTGATCCTAGAGCCCGTTTATGGGACAGTAGCAGAGCAGCTAGGACAAACCAATCCCTGCAATCAGGACTTCAAAGGGAGAACCCACTGAATTCTCCCACAGGAAGTCACATGGGAAGAAAAAAGTCATTATTCCTGCCTCATTAGGTCCTGAACTCCACCAGAAATAAACCAGCTATTACCTGAAAGGCCACAGGTCTAGGGTGGTGAATGAATCTTTCTGCCAGCCTCATCAATGGTCTAACATAAGCTTTTTCTTCTAGGTTTCTGGCCATATCCTGAATCGTGGACCCCGAGAATTCCTGACTTGCATGTGTGCACACTGAGCATTGGTGACATGGAGGAAAAAGAGCACCTCTCCCCTCTCCTTCCTGGCAAACTAGCATGCCATTGTCTGAGCTCCAGAGGAACTCAGAGGCTCCATACAGCAACAGGAGGACATGCTGTGGAGGACGATGACATGGTTTCTCTTTCATCATCCAACTACAGACAACCACCTCAAATTACCAACAATACCTGGGGAATCTACAGGAGTGTGCCACTGTGAAAGCCTCCCAGTGGGTACTTACTGTTGAATCCTGCCCAACTTAGACCCATCTACATTTTGACAGTTCAGAAAGTCACTGATGCCTCTCTGTCTTCACAGATAACAAAGAAAACCTGCCTGAGCAGGTAAAGAAATATCTCAGAAGATCTTTGGGAATTAAATGTGCTTCTCTTTCTGAACTCTAGAGTGGATCTCCTGAGAAGGGTAGTATCCATGGACCACCTGTCCCAGGCCTCCACTAACATGAAGAGGCAGAACTTGAGGTCATACATTTGGCCTATTTATCACTGGTATTAGGTAGAGACAATTTACAAAGAAATACTGAAGTATTTAATTAGAATTCCAACATAATTTCTATAAATTGGCATTCAGAATGTTTTGACCCTTGGAGGAGAGAAATCCAAGCAATATGAGCTCTCAGCTTCTACAAGTTGTTATTCTAAAGGTGACGGATGTTTGCACTTCATCTATAGACTCAGCAAAACCCAGTCTAATGCTCAAACACAAGAAGTAACAAGCAATGGGACCTAAACCTAGAAAGCATGGCTGAGGACAGGAGAGATCCCTCCAGACCCAGATCTTCTTCTTCCAGGACTTCCCACAAAGCCTCAGAGATCCACAAAGACCTACATGGAAGTAATGGAGACTGGATATGTGGAACAGAATAGAAAGCTCAGAAACAGACCCAGCGAAAACCTGCCAGCTGATTTTCTTATAGTCACCCATGGAAATCTAGGCAGAGAATGGCTTGTCCACCAATGATTGTAGAAGATTTAAAAACAAATAAGTAACCCATTGAAAAACTGAACACAGTCAGCATTTCTATTGACCTCAAAAACAAACACACTATAATGCTCACATAAAGTTATAGAAGAGGACTACATGATTTCCTGCCTTATAGAAAGGAAGATCAGAAATAACACAGAGTAGATGAACTGTGGACTCGGGAGCCCTGCTGCCACCAGACATGAAAATACAGAAGCTGGAGCATGGCTGGAGCAGACACTCCCCCAGGACATCTAGAGAATGCCTGGCCCCTGACACACCCCAGCAGACAACAAATCCCTGACAGTGAAAATTGTGTGGCTATGAGGAGGTGGAGGTGTAGTGTGTGTTGTGTGGTGTGAGGATGGCTGAAACCTATCACACCATGTGGGATGGAGATGAGCTGTCCAGCTGATCTGATAACAGCACTGTATTGATGGTCCAGTCAGCTGGGGAAAGCAGCAGGTCTGACACCTAGATACTCACATGTGCTATGCGTGCCTCCGCCACTATTAACAACTTATATACAGTGCCAGGACTGTATATGTATGAAGGACTCCCTTCACCCACACTCTCCACAGAGTTCTCTAGGTATTAGGCCTAGGTACTCAACTCCCTTCTGATGTGCCACATACAATGCTAGATTCTAGACCATGCTAGACATGCCTCCAACCACAATGTCCTAAAACATGGGGAAATGTACCAGGCCCTGTTGCACAGTTTATCTTCTGACAAGGACACACAGTTACTGCTTGGTTCAAACACTCCTGGAATCTTCCTGCACTGACATACAACACTAGGTATAATGCAACGTGGGACACTACAGCCATGCCACCTCACTTGTACTACCAGCTGTCAGACCATGATAAACAACCTCTACAACACACACACACACACACACACACACACACACACACACACAGCCTCTAATACACTTCTAAGTCTTGGGCCATGAATGACTTCTCACCCAACCACACATTGACTGCTAGGTATCCGGCATTGCTAAACCCTCAGATATAACTCTCATGTATTCCTAGGTCTGGATCTGGTATGTCACCCACATAATCCTTTATTAACAGCTACTTATCAGGCCATACAGGACACTCTCTTGCCACTGTACCCAAATCCTCTGCTAGTATTGGAACCCATTTGACATCTTATCGTCCACTGCCAACCGACTTCAAAATGTGATCAGACTTTGACGGACACCAGCTCAGCCATGAGCTGACACACACTCATTAGGGATTGTGCAGAGCTAGACACCCCATCCTTCCACTGCTCCCCTCTGACATACAGTTATCATCAAACAACTGGACACACCACCACCCCTGTGACCACACATCTACTCTAGGTACCAGGTCCAGTTTGACCTCACACCCCACATTAATTGACAGCCATTAGACAATTCTGGGAACATTCCCCCTGTCAGGTCTTGCACAATACCTAGCAATTTGCATTGACAGACCCCCTCCTTCTGCTGAAGACACACCCACACTGCTAGGCATAAGCTTCTACTGGACTCCTTCCTATGCGATACCATGTACTGGGTCTCAGGCTCTACTGCTGGTTACTGGGCCATGCTGGACATTAACCCCTGTCCA